TAGACGCAGACCCGTGGTTACCGTACGTTTCACGGCTCTTTGGGTACCGTTGACTGCTGACATACGGGCCAGGCCAAAAATTGCTATGCGCGCTAGAAATCGGGTGAAAACGCAATTTATTCTGTTCTGGAATCGCGCGCAATCTCCAGCAATGTCATGCACGCTGGACAGGAGACGCCGTTCGCCTAGTTGGAGCATTGCTGTGATTGCAGAGCGCGGCAGGCGACGAAGCTGCGGTGCGCTGGTGGTCTGGTGGACCCACCACGACGACCTCAGCCCACTGGCACCGATTCCGTTAGCTCACAATACGCTCATGGATGACCTTCCGGCTGTAAGAAAGTCACGAAGCACCCAAACGGCCGGTGAAAAGTCCCGAACTGTGGTTTTTGCCAGACTCGCGGCCGTCGCTTGTCGTGAGGTCCGTGACTGTTTGCACGGTGAGTGCCGCTTGATGTACCGGGCGGATTTAGATCGCTATCTTTCGGGCCCAGATGCCCAGGTTGGTGTTGGCTAGAGCACACCACGATGAAAGCAGGTCAGTGATGCGCAATGTCTGGGGTGCCCCTGTGTAGAGGAATGGGAAATTTGACCCATATGTTCCACAAACCAAAACGTACAGGATTTGGTAGCCACGGAAGTCGAGCAATATCTACTTACTAAACAAATCTATCCCACCTGTGCTTAATTTAGAACATGATCAATGAGCCTGCCCACTGAAAGCATTTACAGTCGATTAACTCGCGCATGCTTTAGCGAACGAAATGTACTATAAACCAAATGTTTAACTCCTTTTCCCGCGGTTTAACAATACAAGTTTTGATACCTAAAAATCGCGCCCCGCAGTCGTGAAGAACAATATTCACACACCCGTTTTGCCAGTCTTGGCTGTGATAGGCGATTCGGAGAACTCGGCTTGATCGCCATGGGAATTGATCCGGATGGGAGAGATCACACGAGCAGCGTTTTTGTGAGATCTGCTGCAGATTGTACAACCACAGACATTGTTAATCGAACAACGCGCTTAATCTCGTGTTGGCTTAAAGCAGTCAAACATCAAACGCCTCCGTAGATGGCAGATTGTTGTAAAAACTGTTTTATCTAAAGCTGTAGATACAGTACACTGTCCCCGTCTGACTTTATATCTGGCAGCTGTTCCGATCTTTCACTGATTGTGCTTGTCTTGAACAGCTTTATACGCAGTCATGAACTCCCAACGGATCTCTGTAGGGTTGTTTGTTTTGGGTCATGGCTTATGATCGGCTATGACAAGGCTCGGTCGCCCACCGAACTTTGACCTTGTGCTCGGGTAGCTGCAGCCCTATGCACTCATGCCCCGGCCGGGGCGCTGCAGCCGGAGCTCGGCTGATACACGCCAGATGCCCGATGCCGTACCTTTAGAACAAGGTCGTCACAGACGTCAGCGCATGCGCAGCTGCATCTCTCTGGCAGGCTGGTCGGCAGACAGTGTGTGTGTGTGTGACTGGATCCTGACGTCAGTCGGGGTACCCCCGGCCCGTGCGTGACCAGATCCTGGTGCCGGTCGGGGATGTACCGGCCCCGTGTGTGACCGGATCCTGACATCAGTCGGGGCTATACCCGGCCCGTGTGTGACCGGATCCTGACGTCAGTCGGGGCTATATCCGGCCCGTGTGTGACCGGATCCTGACGTCAGTCGGGGGTGTACACGCCCGTGTGTGACCAGATACTGACGTCGGTCGGGGGTATACCCGCCCCGTGTGTGTCAGAATCCTGACGTCAGTCGAGGGTGAGCCCGCCCGTGTGTGTCAGGATCCTGACGTCAGTCGAGGGTGAACCCGCCCGTGTGTGTCAGGATCCTGACGTCAGTCGAGGGTGTACCCGCCCGTGTGTGACAGGATCCTTACGTCAGTCGAGGATATACCCGCCCCGTGTGTCACCGGATCCTGACGTCAGTCGGGGGTGTACCCACCCCGTGTGTGACCAGATCCTGACGTCAGTCGAGGGTGTACCCACCCCATGTGTGACCGGATCCTTACGTCAGTCGAGGGTATACCCGGCCCGTGTGTGACCGGATCCTGACGTCAGTCGGGGCTATACCCGGCCCGTGTGTGACCGGATCCTGACGTCAGTCTGGGGTGTACACGCCCGTTTGTGACCCGATACTGACGTCGGTCGGGGGTATACCCGCCCCGTGTGTGTCAGAATCCTGACGTCAGTCGAGGGTGAACCCGCTCGTGTGTGTCAGGATCCTGACGTCAGTCGAGGGTGAACCCGCCCGTGTGTGTCAGGACCCTGACGTCAGTCGGGGGTTACCCGCCCGTGTGTGACAGGATCCTTACGTCAGTCGAGGGTATACCCGCCCCGTGTGTCACCGGATCCTGACGTCAGTCGGTGGTGTACTCACCCCGTGTGTGACCAGATCCTGACGTCAGTCGAGGGTGTACCCACCCCATGTGTGACCGGATCCTTACGTCAGTCGGGGGTATACCCGCCCCGTGTGTCACCGGATCCTGACGTCAGTCGGTGGTGTACCCACCCCGTGTGTGACCGGATCCTTACGTCAGTCGAGGGCATACCCGCTCCGTGCGTGACAGGATCCTGACGTCAGAAGGGGTTCCCCTGGTCCGTGTGTGACAAAATCCTGGCGCCTGTCCGTGGTGCACGGCCTGTCCGTATCACGGCCGGCCCGCTGTGAGAGGGCGCGCTTTTTGACGGCTACGCTGGCACTGATGCCGTATCTCAGTCATGATGGACGAGCACCTATCTGACAGAAGCACCGAGCTGACTGCGGTCCCACGGACGAATCAGTACAATTATTTATTTGGGGTTGTCGTCGGCTGTGAGACATGTTCGGAACGATTCAGTCGTCATAAACCATCTGGTTCATGGTGTCAGCTGAAAGCTGTTACCTGTTGTGGGCTGCGATGAATCATTCTTGATAGTTTGTTACCTGTCATTGGCTCACATCAATGATATTTATTCGAACGCTACCGTTATCCTGTGAAGAACTGAACGTCCGGGCGCCCTCTGTGAAGTTACAATGCCTACTGCGAAGTTACTACCGATAACATGACGCACTTGAGGGACATGAATGACCGTGTTGTTGAGCTCAGCTGGCGATTCAGTAATCAGTGGCAATGCAGCGCTCGACTCGGTCGCGGGGTCACGAGAGGTTAGCAGCCAAACGTGCATGTTGCTCGCATGTCCCCCCCCCCCCCGCCCGTCCCCATTCCCAACTGGGCCAGAGGAAGCACTCAGAGAAACCCGGAAAAGGAACAGTTCGCCACAACAGCCCGGCCACAGATTAATCAGCGCCGTCTGACGGCGCCGGGTGCCGGAGGCGGCGCCGCCACCGCGGAGTCGAGGCCACTAAATGGCGACAGCCGGGTCACAGTGTCGGCCGGACGTCCGCCGCCACCTCGCGAGGGTGGCCCATTGTGGCAGGGCGCAGGGCGCGCAGGGCAGGGCGCGCCGCTGACCTGCTGCCGACCGGGCGCCGCTGCCGCTCGCGGCACACCGCAGCCGGCACGGCCGCGGCGGTGCGCTCACTTCCGCTGGCGTCGCCGCTGCGGCGAGCGACGGCGGCGGCGCAGACGCCCCATCGAGCTGCCGTCTGCGCTCAGCTCCGGCAGTCCGGGGCTGGGAAGATACGGCTGCCGGCGCTCATCGCTCATCTTGGTCTGGATGTACTGCGGCCCACTATGGGTGCGTGACGCGCTCAGATGCGGCGTTTCGTGAGGTCTCAAATCCTCCATCTGAATGACACATTCACTTGTAATGCATGATTGCAATCTTTTTAGCCCATAGTCCTCATTTTAGATTGTGCATGATTTCACTTGCCATCCTCCGAGCTCTTTAAATGCACGCCCCGTATCTAACCTACAATTCCCTCCGTCATTGATGTTGACTACCAGTTACAAACTCCTGCCAACACCAAACAGGCTTTCAAACGGATTCATGAATGCGTTTTACTGTTCACGGAAATTTAAATGTTCTAATATCTGTAGCGGTTTTAGGGAAGTTCTCATGCATTGAGACTTCAAGTGACGCTGTCACCCCTGCGTGTCGCATCACTGCCGCTGCAGTCCATGCAAACTGCACCATCACACGCTCACTATCAGTGCATCGCGGACGGGCGACACTGCGGCCGGCGCCGCGGCCGTCGTCGTGTGGCGGCGGGCGCCGGGCGGCACGCTCGGGCCGTCACGTGACCGGCGGCCCGTCCAGGCCAGCGCTCAATGGAGGCTGCAGGGAGTGGAGGAGCCCACCGCCGAGCGATACGATCGGACGATAGCGCCGCGATATGCAGGGACCGGTTGGCGGCGGCGGCGCGCCCCGATCCGCCGAAGCCGCGGCCGTCGCCGAGCGCGCCCAGACACTGCAGCCCCTGCCCGGCCTTGGTCAATGCCCGTTGAAAATGCCGGTGTAATGAGAGGACTGTGGCGACGTGCCTCGGATCGGATGTGTCTGCTTTGTCGGCGGCGGCGACGGGCCTTCGCCGGGCCGGCGGCGGCCCGCCGCGCCCGGCCGGTAATGCGCGACCTTATTCGGCTCGCGCAGCTTGACCCCTGACCTTCGGCCCCAATCGGCGGAGCGCCGGCTGCCCGCCGGGCCCGTCCAGTAATCACCCGGGACAGCCGTGGCTGTGTTTGACACCTCGGCGTGTAATTTGTCCGGGTGCGCGGCCGCCTTTGTCTGGAGTGCGTCGTGTCTGTGTCCAAGAGTTCCCAGTGCAATATCTAGGAATTCGGATCGTGTTTTTCTCTGTGTCCTCAGGATGCGATTTCACCGGGGATGTCCTAGCCAGGGCTTTGATTGTCAAACGTCTCGGTGGTCGATTTGTCCCGGTCAGGGACCGTGTCTGTAAACCGCTCCACAGCGCGCAGTCCATTTGGTCCGGTGTCTTGACCGTGTCTGACCCCCCCCCCCCTCCATCGCGAGCGAGACTTCCGCCACCGTCGACAGTCCTCGCCCCAGGCGTGAGCTGACCGCCAGCTGACCGGGCGCTCGTGCCGTTGCAGGTGCGGTTCGCCATGGTGGTGAGGTCGGAGAGCCGCGATCGGCTGGAGCTGATCCAGCTGTGCCCGGAGCTGCCGGCCTCGCCCGGGCCCACGGCGCCGCCGCTCAGCCCCGACGGCCGACAGCTCAACGACGAGATCAAGAAGGGCGGCAAGCGCCTGTTTCCGCTCTATGACAACCTGAGCAAGACGGTGAAGCGGCACCGGGAGAAGTCCCGTGAGCGAGACAAGTCGCGCGACCGGGTCAAGCAGCGCGACAAGCTGCGGCTCAAGGAGGAGCAGGAGGCTGTGGCTGACCGCAACAACGCCAATGTCAGCGGCGAGCCGACGCGGGAGCAGCTGGAGGCCGAGCAGAGAGGCAGAGAGAAGACCAAGGAGAAGAGGCGGTTCTACCAGCGAGACAAATCAAAAGATAAGAAGAAAAACAAACATAAAACGAAGGAAAAAGATGAGAAGGGTCAGGGAGAGCCGACGGTCGATGTCACCGCGGCACGACTGTCCGATGCAGTAGATTTGCCTCGCCCAAGTTCGACGTACAGTTTTAAGGAAGATGCCGCCATCTACGGGTCCGTCGAAGTCTGCTCAACCCCTTCTTCCCGGGCTGCCCAAATCCAGGAAGACAGGTCAGCCGCGGTCATCAAGTCCTCCGACCAGGTCAAGGCCTTTCGTGACTCCCCGTCAGCGTTGTCGGGCCCGGAGAGTCCGTCCGCCGCCAGCCCCGGGCCGTCTGGACTCACCCCTAATGACGGGAAGGATGCGTGTCGACCGGCCCCCTCCGCCGCTGGACCGACCCATGGCCAGACCCCCGCCCCCGCCCCCGCCACGAGCCCCAGCTCATCACCTGGGACCCGCCCATCGGCCACCGAGGACTCAGTGTACGGTGATGTGGCCGGCAACAGGACCGCGCTGTACGGCGATGTAGCCGGCAGCAGGACCGGGCTGTACGGCGATGTGGCCGGCAGCAAGACCGGGCTGTACGGCGATGTGGCCGGCAGCAGGACCGGGCTGTACGGCGATGTGGCCGGCAGCAGGACCGGGCTGTACGGCGATGTGGCCGGCAGTAGGACCGGGCTGTACGGCGATGTGGTCGGCAGCAGGACCGGGCTGTACGGCGATGTGGCCGGCAGCAGGACCGGGCTGTACGGCGATGTGGCCGGCAGCAGGACCGGGCTGTACGGCGATGTCGCCGGCAGCAGAGCCGGACTGTACGAGTCGCCGCTTGGGCGCTACAGCTCTCTGGCCGCTCGCTATCTGGCCCGGAAGCAGCCGGCTCGCCGGCCGTCCGAGCACGACTACGAAACGTTCGAGTCGGTGCTGGGCGAGGCGAAGCTCACCGTCGCGGCGCCGGTGGCGTCCCCTGACGAGGACCCTCCACCCTCGAAAGAGGCAACCTCAGCAGCGGCGAGCGGCGACACCCTGGCGTTGGCGAAGGAAGGGGCTTCTGAGCTGACCGGGGCGGTGGTTCCGGCAGCGGCGAGCGAGCCAGACTTTCTGCCGGAAGATGCGGCGACAGGCAGGATGCAACGTCTAGCCGCGGCTGCCGCCGGTGCGGTCGTGCCAGCGCCCCTGAATCAGAGCGACGCGGCCGATACGGAAGCGGGAGATAGCCCCGATACGTCAGCCGTCCCGGCCGCGCAGCCAAGGCTGCAGCCCAGTGCGGCTCCGGCGCCCGCGGTCGAGTGTGCGGTGCAGAACTCCAGCGACAAGGCCAAGGGCTCGCGAAAGTTTTTGTCGTTTCACTCGCGGGCCGCCGGAAAGACGAGTGCGAAGCGATCGTTTCTGAGCACGCTTCTGCGTTCTAGCGATGCTGCCAGCGATGCCGCGCGCTGCGCGGCGGCAGAGGGTGACGTGAGCAAGGTGAAGTCTCTGCCAGCCAAGTACAGGGATCTATTCCGTGACAGGAGGATCGCCCCCGGCTCCGAGCGAAGCAGCGGCCGAGCAGAGACTGCAGCTGCGCGAAAACCGGACGAAGCCGCGCCCCCAGCGGAGCAGCCCGCCTCGCCGCCCACGCCTGCCGAGCCGGAGGTGGTCGAGATTGAGCTGCCGGGTGTGTTCGGTCCCTCACAGATGCGGGCCAGCCTGCGGATCACGCTGAAGAACTCGGCCGGCTCCCGCGGCGCCGAATGCGCGGGTGCGGGGAGCTCTTCGGCGGCCGCGGACGCGCCATCGGCCGCCGGCATGGGCTCCCGCCAGCAAGGCCGCGCCCGCGCGAAGCCGGCGTCGAAGCGGCCCAGCGAGCAGCGGCTCTCAGTGGCCATCCCGCCCGAGACGGTGGCCGCGCTGACCTCCAAGTTCAACGCGCTCATCCAGGCGTCGACCTCGGCCGAGTCGTCGCCGTCTCCGACCGGCGTCAAGACGTTCAACCTAGGCTCGATCACGCTTGACAAGTCGGGCAACGTCTCCAAGTCGTCATCCTTCCGGCGCACGGAGGCGGCGCGCGTGTCCTCGCGCCGCCGTCTGGCCGCCTCCCAGGCGGAGCGTACGCACGCGCTGCTGAGCAAGGCGTCAGCCGCGCTCAGGGACGACGCGACGGGCCGCGCGGCCGTCTCGTCTAAACCCTCGTCGAAGCCCTCGTCCAGAGCGTCGTCCAGGTCGGCCTCGTTCCGGCGGCAGAAGGGCGGCGGCTCGGCCGGCGCGGGCGGCGCCCCAAAGCCGGCCTCGTCGGCGACCGGTCGGGACGTGACGCGACTGTCGGGCTGTCGCCGATCGACCGACGCCAGGACCGCCGGCGGCAGGCCGGCAGGGCTCGCCTGGACGTCCGCTGTCAGGGCCGAACAGAAGAGCGCCGGCACCAAGGCCACCGCTGTTGTCCACGGGCTGAGAGGAGACGGCAGCGGCAAGGCTGGCACCGCGTCAGAGAAGCCAGGGCCCTCCACTGTTGAGGCTAGTGTTAAATCGCCAAACAAAAGTAAATCATCGGTCAAAGAAGCCGTCGGAAAGAAGTCCGAGTGCTCGGAATCTACAGAGGGGAAAGGCAATGCCTCTGATCTGTCCGCAAACAAAAACGAAGCCTCCAGCAGCAAATCAGTTGAAGCAACAAGCAAAAAGTCAGTATCCACCGCTTCAGGTGACAAGAAGGAATCATCCGCTACAAAGCCGAATGAACAGTCAGCGGACAAAAAAGAGCGCAAAGTCAGACCGGCACCTGCAGATCAGAAAACGACAGGTGTTCCCAAATCAGGACGCGACAAAATGGATGTGTCGAAAATACACGACAGGGAACTGCGCAAGCTCACCAATACAGGAACGGTGGCGAAGACCAGTGAACTCTGGCTGAAAAGGGCTCAGTCAAGCAATGAGCTGGGGACGGTTAAGAAGAACTCTGCTGCAGTCACGCGTCTTTCACTTAAGAACCGTAATCCGGTCAGCGAACAACCATCCAAGACAAGCGGAAGAACAGAGTTGTTGTCTGGGAAGAACAGCAAGATGACAAGCTCAGAGAGCTGTTTGATGAAATCTTCATCATCGATCGCGAGTCTGAAAAGTGACGTATCGCCGGGGCAACACAAAGAAGTACTTAATCTGCGCTGCAAGTCGTCCGCCAAACAGATCACGGCCCGCGGACGTGACGATGACGCCAAGGTGTCGGACACCACAGGGCGCTCGCAGTCGGACGTCAAGTCTGGACCGGGCTCTTCGCCGACAGCAACACCGCACAAGGCAAAGGAGGAGAACAAAATAACTCCGGTGAAAGAGCAAACGGAATCAAAGGAGGCCTCTCGAGCGTCGACGACTCTCAAGCAGAAAACGGACCCCAAACCTGGTGTGCTTATTGACAGCCACTTGTACGGGGTGCCGTCTGTGGTTGGCTTCCACCAAAAGACAAAAAGTACCCTGTTCGAAAACCGACTTTACGGGGAGACATTCCCACCAATCAAAAACAGCGTCCACAAGCATGTGAGCGCGACCGCTCCGACCCAGAAGTCCCGCCTGCCGATAACACCGAGCGCACGCTGCGCGCGCGTTGACCACCCGCCTGTGGGGAAGACCCTGTCGCTCAAGTCACTACCGCCCTCGCCGTGCAGCCGTGTGAAGGAGGCGATCCATCGGTTCGAGGCGCCGACGCCGGCGCGCGCCGCCGCGGCGCCGATGCCGGCCGAGGCGGTGCGCAAGGCAGCCACGCTGCCGTCTCGGCTACCGGCGCCGGCGCGCGCGCCCGGCTTCTACGAGTCGATCTGGGACGGCCGGCGCGAGTACAGGCCAAACGAGTCGTTCCTCTGGAACGGCAGCTCGCAAGTGACGTCGTGCGGTGAGAGCGTCGGCTCCAGCGTCAGCGCCAGCGACACGGCCTCCAGCGCCAGCGACGCCGGCTCCATGCCCGAGGAGGAGGCGGCGGTGCGCGCGCGCAGCACCCTCTGGCGGCGACTAGGGATGCCACGCGCCGCGCCGCCCGCCGCGCCCGCCGCCGAGTACGAGCCGGCCGGCGGCTCCAGCAGCTCGGGCACCGTCACCTACGAGAACGGCTCGGATCCCGGCTACGAGCATATCAGCGGCGACAGCTGCACCGGCTACGAGCAGATCGGCGCGCGCTACGAGCGAATCGGCGGCGCGCCGCCCAGCGAGACCACGTCGGCCGGCTACGAGACACTCTCGCCCCCGTCCGAGACGTCCACGCTCTGCTACGACGACTGTGTGGTGCCAGCCCGCCTGGCCGTAGTCAGCGAGCACCAGGCCGAGAGCCTTGGCTACCTGGACCGAGGCACCGCGCAGTACGAAGATATCGGCGGCGCGTGGGCAGCGCGCGGCCTGCTCGAAGGCACCGACCTGAAGCCGACGCCACTGCAGACCTTCGAGGAGGAACCGGAGATGGCAGGTCAGTCAGTGGCGGGGGAATGGCCGAGTTTTCAATTTAATCATGACTATTGTATGACTATCAAGCCGCAGAATAAATGGTTCGCCACCCACGCGTCTCGCATGGGTTGTGAAGCGAGTGCAAACGATGCTATGAATGGGGGCGGACGATTCCTTGACTCGGGACGGATGATTCTGTGACTCGGGACGGACGATTCCGTGATTCGGAACGGATTATTCCGTGACTCGAGACAGACGATTCCGTGGCTCGGGGACGGGCGACCCCGTACCTCGCGGACGGACGCTCATTTTTGACGATTTGCTAGCGCCCCTTCGCTATAATTGGGTCCATATTAATTGCATGCTATCAATGTTTATGGAGTGATAACTGAGCAACGTATGACCGACTTTCCCCGTGATTTTTTCAGACGAGTCAGAGGGCGGCCCGCAGACAGTGAACAGCTACCAGCTGACCGAGTTCGGCTCGGACCAGGTGGCAGCACCAGCGCCCCAGCAGGTGTCGCTGCCGTCGACGCCACGCGACAGGCTGGCCTCGGACCGTGACACGGGCGGCGATTGGACCGATATCGACGCCGACGGCGAGCAGGAAGCCAGCGACGACACCGAGGGCAGCGCGGAGTCGCCCATCGTCGTCACGCGGCCGCATTTTGTGTGAGTATTTTTTTGTGGCCGCTGGCCTCGCACCGCAGCGCACAGGCAAACGAGCGGGCAACCTCCTGTGAACGAATTGGCTGCGAACTCAGCGTGCGTGTGAACAAGACACGTGGATGTGAACATCATGCTGGTGAAAAATGACGCGGTCGCGTCATGGTGAATTATTGGGGAGGATTTTGAACCCGGACCCGAAAGCGAAAATATTGCGGTGCGGTAGATATTGATGGAGAACGGATAACGATCGTAGGGGATATGTAGCAAATTGAGCAGAAAAGGTACTGTCTATGTTGAGACTGTGGTTAGTGGTAGAATTCAGGACAAGGGGTAGACAAGGCAGAAATGGTAGAACGGCGCTTATGGGTAAAACGGGTGAATTTCCCGCTGGCGTTCATACTACCAAATTGGGTTCAACAGCTGGTTGATGGAAATATTGCTATTTACTACGGCATCATTTTCTATCATATAATGCTGGCTGGCTTATTGGACCTACACATATCGAGGAGAAGCGTGAGAACTAACACATATGTAGCATTTTTGCATCCTGGTGCCCGTGCCCTATATCGCTAACAAAAGGTACACATTTAAATACATACTTAGCACATCTTGTGTTCGTCGTAAAATATCTTTCCTAGTACTCTGTCTGCCTAGCTGTACTTTTCGCCGTTGGACAGATTCATGGAGGTGTCCTCTTTCCCGTGCCTCTGCACGCAATAGCGCGCATATGGGTATGTCTTCAAACGCGATCCGACACGAATGCTTGTCGCCCGAGGTCCCAAATTCACGCCAAAGTAGATACTGCTATAAGTAAGCCATCCATGCACGCGTGCATCGCTACCTTAGAATTTAGATGATTTGGAACCAGATATAAGGTGATTCCGCAAATGTTTTCTAAAGAAATAATTTTAGATGAAAAAAGCTTTTTAGCGGGACACAGAATACACACTTATTCAATTGAAAAAGAAATTGGCTTAAATGAACGTCAAAAACGCAAATATATTACCATTGCAATATGATGCATCGTCAATTAAAAACGTAAAAAGCTCTAGGAGACTATAAGGAGCTACATAACATTTTACAGTAGGGGAGAGGGGGTGGGGGGCACAGCTCAATTTTTTTCTTCTGAAAACTGAGTTAAGTGTGTCGCAGTTGCGCGAATTTCTGGCAGGTCGTTCAACAGCATCGCTTATTGTCGATCTTCTCGTTTTCACGTGCCTGTCTGGAATTCTTAACTGTCAACAGTTAAGCCACGTACAGATTAAAACACACGCACCACGCATGTAAGACATGCCATAAAGTTGGCAAGTGTGGAGGGGAGGGGGCACGCACCTTCGAAGCTACCATGTGCGAAGGCACCTGGAGACCACCACATGTTCTCACATGTATCCGCGGTCGGACCGAGCTGGCCGGCGGCGGCAGGTCACTGCGAATGTCATCACCCATCCACACCGCACCGCTAGCTCGGGTCACGTGACTGGTGGTGCCGGGCGCCGCGACCCGCGCAAGGTGAATCTTAAATATGTCCTCAACACGGTGGGCTGTTCGTTGCCCTACGACTGTCACGCCGATTTGCAATACAGCTGGCCAGGGGGCGGCTGGTGGCCCTGACAACACCCGGCTGAAGCTGGCCAGGGGGCGGCTGGTGGCCCAGACAACACCCGGCTGAAGCTGGCCAGGGGGCGGCTGGTGGCCCTGACAACACACGGCTGAAGCTGGCCAGGGAGCGGCTGGTGGCCCTGACAACACACGGCTGAAGCTGGCCAGGGAGCGGCTGGTGGCCCTGACAGGAGCGGCTGGTGGCCCTGACAACACCCGGCTGAAGCTGGCCAGGGAGCGGCTGGTGGCCCTGACAACGCAAAGCCGAAGCTGGCCAGGGAGCGGCTGGTGGCCCTGACAACACACGGCTGAAGCTGGCCAGGGAGCGGCTGGTGGCCCTGACAACGCAAAGCTGAAGCTGGCCAGGAGCGGCTGGTGGACCTGACAACATACAGCCGAAGCTGGCCGAGGAGCGGCTGGTGGCCCTGACACATACAGCCGAAGCCAGGGAGCGGCTGGTGGTCCTGACAACGCAAAGCTGAAGCTAGCCAGGGAGCGGCTGGTGGCCCTCCTAACAACACCACGGGATGAAGCTGGCCAGGGAGCGGTGGTGGCCTGACAACGCAAAGCCGAAGCTGGCCAGGGAGCGGCTGGTGGCCCTGACAACACACGGCTGAAGCTGGCCAGGGAGCGGCTGGTGGCCCTGACAACACACGGCTGAAGCTGGCCAGGGAGCGGCTGGTGGCCCTGACAACACACGGCTGAAGCTGGCCTGGGAGTGGCTGGTGGCCCTGGCAGCACACAGTCGAAACCGTTCATCCATGCGAAGTTTGCATAATGCATTGCCGTGTTGACTCGTTCCATGCAAGTGCCGTCCTTTTGTGAGGTTGATAAGGGCGGATAGCGTTCGCCTAGCCGTTGGCCTTAGTTCGGTACGAATATCGGATCAGTTATCAAAGCCCGTCCCGGTTTGGGCTGCCTAAATTTGGCGCTTCATGAAAATGAGGCATGGACTAGGGCTGTATTTCCGAGAGAGACTTCACGTGATCTTGGCACTAGTTCCGTATCCGAGGCGCAATCTAAACATGTGGAGGGGGGGGGGGGGAGGTGCGGGTGCAGGTGCCCTTGTGTGTCATCGCACTCCACACCCTCTTCCATCCAACGATTTCCGGTGCCCTCGGTAATCGCCTGCGTACAAAGCAGATGAAACCATGTTGTTTTATAGACATTTATTTTTCACGCTCCTTTGATTAGTGCAGTGCCGTTCTACCGCGATCTTGAGCTTCGTCCGTTTCACGTACGCCGAAATATAAGGCCTCGGCTTGCCTCAAGGCCATTGCTGGCCAGCGAGCAGGCAGAGGGGCTTGACTCTGCGTGTGGCAGACGCGGGCTTTCCCTGGGCACCTCCGCTCACTGACAATCTGGTTTAGCCGTACATGGCACACGCTCGTGCTTATAACTTGCGCTCCAGAAACGGTCGTTCCTGCCGGTAAAACTGCGCTGAAATGTGAACATAACGTGGCTACTAACACATGATTATAGGAGAAAAGCATGGGGCAGTGTCGTTGGGTAAAAAAAACGTTATAAGGCGCCACCCGTGAGAGTGAAAATACCTCTTAATATCCGCTTTGACGTTTCTGCTTTCTGGCAAATAACATTTTGTTTGTAATGATGTCGTCCAGGTTATCTAAAGATTGCAAATTGCATTGTGTTTGGTTCTGCCTACTCGACGAGGAAAAAACGCGCCTTTTACACGACACGTCCTCTGACGAGTAGCAGGCGAACGTCACCAGCGCGGGACAGCCTCTTTTATACGACACGTCCTCTGACGAGTGCAGGCGAACGTCACCAGCGCGGGACAGCCTCTTTTATACGACACGTCCTCTGACGAGTGCAGGCGAACGTCACCAGGCGCGGGACAGCCTTCCTTTTATTACGACACGTCCTCTGACGGAGTGCAGGCGAACGTCACCAGCGGCGGACAGCCTCTTTATACGACACGTCCTCTGACGATTGCAGGCGAACGTCACCAGCGCGGGACAGGCCTCTTTTAATACGACAACGTCCTCTGACGAGTGCAGGCGAAACGTCACCAGAGCGGGACAGCTCTACGACACGTCCGCTGACGAAGGCAGGCGAAACGTCACCAGGGACAGCCTATTTTATACGACACGTCCTCTGACGAGATGCAGGGCGAACGTGCACCAGCGCGGGACAGGCTTCTTTTATACGACACGTCCTCTGACGAGTGCAGTGCGATAACGTCACCAGCGCGGGACAGGCCTCTTTTATACGACAACGGTCCTCTGACTAGTACAGGCGAACGTCACCAGCGCGGGACAGCCTCTTTTATACGGACACGTTCCATCTGACGAGTACAGGCGAACGTCACCAGCGCGGGACAGCCTCTTTTATACGACACGTCCTCTGACGAGTGCAGGCGAACGTCACCAGCGCGGGACAGCCTCTTTTATACGACACGTCCTCTGACGAGTGCAGGCGAACGTCACCAGCGCGGGACAGCCTCTTTTATACGACACGTCCTCTGACGAGTACAGGCGAACGTCACCAGCGCGGGACAGCCTCTTGTCCTCTGGGGGCACGCTTCCATTGGTGGTCCCAGTTGCCGCTCTAAGTCAACAGCAGCGCAAGCAAACCCGGATACATACGAGATTTGACAGTCGCAGATACGCACGAATGCACTTGCACGCACGCACGGAAAACCCACGCTGCACGTGCATTGCGCGGTGCGGATGAGTTTTATGTGGGTCTCTTGCACGACTTATTTAACACTGGCTCTATTTTGCCGCCATTTGCTTCACTACACAAATATTATACGCCCATACATATGTAAATGGTTCTCATGTGGAATCTCACGCTATGTGATTTGCTTCCAGAGGAGTGAAATGGCATTATCCTATACGCTCTTGCCCAAACGTCAGTGCTATTTACACACACGCAGTGCGTCCTATTTTCCACATTTACTTGATCACGACTGCTGTGAAGCGACACGATTCTGCACAGGGCAGACCATGGGAACGACGTAAGGCATCTGGTATGCTCCACCACGTGAACCCCAACTTCGAACCATCATGGTCAAAGAGTCCTTGAGTCGCGGTCGTTAATACTTTTGAAGGACATTGTATCGCATGCCATTAAGAAGACACCCGGTGGAATGGCATTGTTCGATCGGGGGATCATCTCCTGACGAAGCCGTATTATTTAGTGGGCGATGCTGGGGTGGGCTATATGCAGCACTTGTTTCCGCCTCCTTCACGACTCATCGTGGCACCATTTTCTTGTTTTCAGGCGCCTCCGCAACCGCAGTCGGCGCTTCTCCAAGACGCGCGGCGGCCGGCGCTCGTGGTCTCAGTCGCTGAGGAACCTGAACGGTGAAGAGGAGTACACAGAGGGACCCTGGAGGCACACGCTGACCGGTGAGTACCCCATCTCCGGCCGCTCACAGGTCACAGGTCACAGGTCGCAGGTCACAGGCCAGGTCACGGGTCAGGCCCAGCCGCCACTGCAGGTGGACGCCACAGCTGGGCGTGGCGCCAGGCTTCGCTGGTTGAGCGTCACGGCAGCCCAGCACGCTCCGGCTGGCCGGCTGGTGTCTGCGAGCCTCCGTCATGCTGGAGTTCTGGTGCGGCTGTCGGCAGTGACAGCAGGCAGGTTTGTCGCCAGTGACGGGCGTCACGGACGTCACGGATGTCACGGGCTCGTCGCTGGAAGGTCGACCGCTGCACAGATCGGTTGTCACACGATAAAATTGGCCGCCCTCGCCGAGCCCCGTCTTCAGACCACTGGCGACTTATAGCTCTCCTTTAGAACCTCCTGGGCAGTACGAAACTCTCGTCTGTCACGGGCGGTCAGCGGCGTGTCGCGTATCAATCAGTGTCCATCGCATATTGCAGACCATAGGAACATATGGCTGTGGACCGCATGGACGGTGTAGATGATGAATGTAGAGATCGAGCTCAGTGCGAGGAAGTGCTCAAGAAAACTGGGCGGAAATGCGTATGACTCCAAGCTAAGGCAATCATCGGGCCTCAGGAATACAGGCCATCGCAAGGCTTCACTTACGCATAACTACCCAGGAAGTGTCAGATATTACTCAGAAGCTTAGCCGGACGCCCAGTCCAACTACGGGAGCTCTATTTCTGTGACATTATCGAGAGTCATGTCCCGCGGCCACGGACTTCCCCGTGACTCAGACGGCCGTGGCGTTCCTGGAGTTATACGTCGCGGACGTCGGCTTCTTTGTGCCCGCTGGTACCAACAAGTAAACAGGGGGTGTTCGGGATATGAGGACAGTAACTCTATTCTTCAACATGACTGGAATAACCGGCGCGGTCATGCACGGGAAAAGTGGAAGAAAATAAGCTACATCCACGTACTATGTCGGGGATGCCATTTTGTCCTGCTACTGATGCCAATCTGCCATCGTTTGTGGCGTCAGTGGTCAATGTGATATTACCGGAAATATCCAGCCCGAAGAACGTATCGACCGCGTGACCGGTGAAAAACGCACTGGACATGCAAGTGGCCGGCACGGACACGCGCGGGACTTGGGCTGCGGCCGCCTTTCCCCGCGACGCCGCATACCTGCCCGAGCCCTTGCAGCCCCGGCTCGAGTCACCCGAGCCGTCCCAGCGCCGCATATGAATGGGAGTGTCACAGCGTGTCGCGGAGGCGCCGTCGCTCCTCGGAAAGTGAAAACCCTGTCGCGCACAAACAGCTTTCCATCGTGCGGCACGTGCGGCGCATGCCGGCGGGATGGGGAGCTGTTTTGATTTTGGGACGCGCTCGGTCCGAGCCGCCCTGCTGAAGGTAATATCTTCTCCCGTCGGATATCCATCCAGGGAAAATTCAGGTGTAATGGCGTTGCGTTATGCCTCAAACATCAGCTGAATGTTTCCACTTCTACTTGCTGCCGTCTCCCCGGAGTTTCCATTCATGCCGCTGTTCTCCCGCGCGCTATCTCTCCGCCAGCGTCAGTTGTCGGTCTGCCCGCTAGATGGCAGTGTGCGGTGCGTTGCAGTCTCGCAGCCCACCTCGGCGCCAGTCGAGGTCGGCGGCCAGGCGGGGCGCCAGGCGATCCGCGTCAGTGAGCGAAAGCGTGCGCCGCTCAGCGAGAGCGGGCGCCGCCTTCGGCAGTGCCAGTGCATCAACTGCGCGAGCAGCCGTCCTTGTTGATCACTTTTCTGCGTGCGTGGTCGTGAAGCACAAAGGTACAGAAGTCAGAACGCGCCATGTGCGCTCGGTGGCCGGTGGCCTTGAGCGCGCTGGCCCGTTCTTGGCGGCGAGGACGGCGCTGGCGGCGCTGGTCTCTGGTCAGGGAATGGCGGGTTGACTGTGGCGGTGATGGATCCTCCCTGCTCCCGTGTATATCTGCTGGGGTGAGATTCGCAATAGCACCGGCTTATTTTGCGTGGCTCGTCTGCTTCCTGCATGCATTAATGTGCAGCCTTCAAATTGGTCGTCAGCGTTAACACATTAAACCCGAGCTGCAACACGTCAATTAAGCAGAGGATAATAGAGTTAAATCTCAGTGGAACATATGACTGTAGAACTTGCGATGGTATAAGGTGTATCATTATCGGTGACATAGCTTATGAAACATCGTTGGTTGATAACACTCAAAGCTGCAGAGATATTTTATCGACAAAGGCTTTGCAGTGGTTCGGAAACCACCTGGCATTAACCTCCAATCAGTTGTTCGAGGCTGTCACAATACCGCTTAAGCCGTGAACTGGTTGTCGTTATGCCTCGCGCGAAGTTATGTACTATTTTAGCGATAGCTGTTAATCAACGCCTGTAAACGTCACGCATGATAGCATTGATAAATTGCTTCGATGAATCAGTATTTCAATCTGGACTGCAAGCCTCTTAATCCGGAGGCTGTTAGTGAAGAAAAACTAATAGCCATATTTGCGCCATGTTCAAAGCCCCTGCGTGGGTGCTGAACACGAGAGCTTGTAATACCATCGCGACAGGAACGTGCCAGGCACCTGGGCCAGACCGCTCCGACTCCCGTTATGGTCATCTAGCTGCCCACGCACCTGCCCACTCCTTCTTGTAGTGCCCCAATTGGGTAATTTTGCAGACCTGCATAGCGCTCCCCAACTGCGCACCATCAGGCATCCGTCCGGACCGTGCAATCCACCCCGCCCAGGACGGTGCACCAATCAGCCGTCCCCACGGACGGTGCACCGACCTGCCGTCCCCACGGACAGTGCACCATCGGTCCGTCCCTCCCCGAGCAGTGGACCAATCAGCCATGCCCTGCCGGACTGTGCACTGATCATCCTCTGGTCATCACATTCTGGTCATCACATTCTGGTCATCACATCCTCATCCTCTGGTCATCACATTCCGCTTTCCCCCAGCCTTGTGCCGACCTTCGGTTCCGCTCAAGGCAGTACACCGCCGATACTACCCTCCTCGGACCGTCCATCGGCCAACCGTACCTCTCGGGGCCGCACGCGCCGATCCGCGGGCGCTCCTCAGCCACGGGTCCCAGGCCGCGGTTAGCCACGTCGTATCCCAGACAACTGGTTTTCGGCGTGAGTCACCCGGGCGGCCGGCGGCGCCTCCTCCGCGGCCGCGCGCTCCGCCTGGTACGCGGACCGGACCCGCCCGCGGCCCGGGCGGACCGCGGCCCAGTGTGACGTCAGAGCCGACCTTCTCCGGACGAGCGTCGGTCCGGCACGCGACGCGCCGGCGCCGGCCGACAGACGGTCCGCCCGGGTCCGCGGCCGGGCGGCGACGCTAACACAGCGACCGGGCAGCGACGCTGGCGCAGCGGCCGGCAGCGACGCTAGCGCAGCGGCCGGCGCCACCGCCAGTCAGCTGCACCAGGACAATGGCGACGAGCAGCCGGCAAAAAGCTCATTCCGGGTGACCCGCGCGGCGCCTCGCTTTCTGAGACCGGATCTTGCGTTATGCGCGGCGTCTGAAGTCCGAGCCCCGGGGCTGGAGTGAGCCGATTTTCCGGGCGTACTCAGCACCGGTCCCGATCTCTGCAGCCAAAACGGAACGGTGCGGCCGTAGACGTGAGTTGAGTACGAACGTGTCGGGCTGCAAGCAATTTTTCCTGAAGCTACGTTTTGTGCAGATATATACACAGATGAATGGACGGAATGACAGTCAATGTTTGAAGAAGAATGCGTGGGGACGAAGCCTCAACACGAGTTTTCCGGGCGAAGAGTTCTCCATCGACGGATTTGGAGGGCTGTTATGTCTGTCGAGGGCCATCAGTCAGGTTCAATGTACTGTAGATAAAGCCTCGCGGCGGCCTAAAGTTTCTTGAGATGCGCCTGTTCGTAGAAGACTACACAAAACATGAATCGAGGCATGTAGCTTAAAAAACATCCATTGCCTTGTCATGCTATTCCATCTGGCATTCTGAAGCGGCTAGGTATACTCGGGCGTTACGTATACCCGTACGCGCATTCTTCTTGAACTCTCCTTCATGTCAACTATTCGTCAGTGCTGGTACCTCACCACAGCCTCTGAGACGGAGATCATGATCTTATGATCAGTTGTCTGCAACGGGCCTGGCCGGCCGGGTGCATTTGTTTTCATCAGGCGGCCGCGTCGAGCGGCGGCCTTGGCGCGGAGCTGCAGCGGTGGCTGTAACGTGTGCTGGCGGAAGGCAGCGGTCTGGGGGGGGGGGGGGCGACCCCTGCCGAATCGATGGTGCAACTGTGCCACGTATTGGCAAACCAAACATTATCCAAACTCAATTCGATCGACATTTTTCGGCTCCATGCAAGCGTAGATATACGAAGTCGCTGTTATGATTAATTAGCGCTGCTCAAGTAGTGAGAGATGGCCTTAAGTCCATTTGCCTGTGTGGCCGTCTCAAATCTCCAAGTACCTTTGTGTTTTGGGGTATTGCATGTCATGCAAGCTACTTTAAAACCTTCATTGTAAGCAGTTATATTGTTTAACGACTTAAAATGGCGCGAGGTGAGGGGCTCATCAGGGAAAAATGACGAAACCTATCAGCATACGCCAACAGACGGGCCGCTCTCCAGATTCGGCCCACTTCCTTCTTAAAGGTGTGAGAGAGGGCAGGGGCTGGAGCACCCACACCCACCCTGCAACTGAATAGGACTCTACATCCCCGACCACAAGGTTAATGGCTTGCACTAATGGACCAATGTATATGTTTCTTAAAGATGATGCCATCGCTGAAGGTCAAGCATGACATGATGAAGGATGATGAAGGATGTCATCGCCCATTCAGCAGCCTTCCCCATTGAGCTGTTTATGGACGCCACAACCGTGTTGCACTCCACACAGTGTCACACTGTCCCGGCTTCACAGTGGCCAGCTCCTTCGTCGGTTCTTGCATGCAGCGCTAACTTCTGCATCAGCCTGTTTATCGGCCTGTTTGTCGTTCGCAGCCTGGCGACTTGGCTGTACTTCC